AAGAATTGCACTGACCAAAGCCAGGAAATTCAGAATTCACATGCAAGGCAAGACTCCAACTAAAAAACTCCTCATCTACCTGTTCTCAATCCAAGTACCTCATTTGACTGACCTTCTTCTCTCTTGAGAAAAGGTTTTTATCTTGCTTGAGTAATGCCACACAGCCAGGAATAAATGCCAAAAGTGGGAACTGCAATGTTCTTAGCTTGGAATCTCAGCTCCTGTTCTTAGCTCCTCAGTGAATAAGGAGCAGCTTTCCTTATGGACAGTGCTCATCTTGTTTCTTTTTCTGTACCTTTTTTGTGTGACCCTACCTGGTAATGATTCCTCTGGAGCTTTACTCTCCCAGTTAAACCCCTGCAAAGGAAACTTCACTGGCTTCAGGTTAGGTTCTATAAACTACTTCTGTTAAAGCTCCAAGCTGAATTGGGAAGACTAAAAGCCTAAACATTGTACAAACCTTTAAATTACAAATTTGGATTGTTCTGCTGTCAATTAATGTATTTCACATAATCTATCAATTAATTAGTACATTAGATTAGGAACTAACTTCCCCACCACTTTCCTTGCATGTTTGGACAATTGACAAAATGTACTTGTAAGAAATCTGTCTTTTCCCTGAAGGACTGTATATCAGAATGGCCAATAATCTTCTACTACCAGAGCAGGTTTTCCTGCTCCATTTTCAATATTCTGGTTACTTTCACTAGTTTCTTGGTGTTTATACATACAAATTGATCAAGAAGAGTCTTTTTCTCAGAATAGTCACCATTATTACTGCTTCTTTAATTTTATTTGAATGGTAAAATAACTATTGAGAAATATTTTGGAGCCTCCCATGTCTCTTGAGAAATCAAATATCTCTGCATTGCTCTGAAGTATATTGCTACAATTAATATAGTCACAGTATCATCTCCATGCATGTAAGGAAAAATAATCTCTATTGACTTTGAAGGTGGCTAATACACCTAATATTGGAGCAATATATTCAATTAACACACAACCTACTTATTTGATAACAGCTAAAGATACTGTGTTTGGTGAGAAAAGACAATACTTAATCATTAAGCATCATTTAGAATATGAACTATTTTAAAAATTTGTTTGGTAATAGCAAGAATTCTACTCTCCTTCCAGTTAGTAATCCTTTAAAACAATTAATTGCAATGTTTCAGTCTCTTCTATTTCAGATGTGAATTAGTCTTTCTCCACATTACTCTGTGCCCATTTAAAACCCCAGCTGGGTTCCTACAAACTGTGTGCAGTGATGTTTCATATTTTCAATCTGAGACAAACAAGCCACCCTTCCAGAGCCTGGAAGCATCCATAGTGCTATACCAGCTTTACACCAGCTGCTGAGCTACTCTTATACCTCTGAATTCCTCCATATCAAGTGATGGCTTTTTTTTGCATTCAGTAGGGCACTGCTTGCTTTCTCTGTCCCCAGGTATATTTTTGCCTGTGAAGACTGTGACCCGCTTAAGGGAAGGAATTCCTTTTACTCTGTTTGTACAAGACACAGCACAACACAGAGTGATTTTGCCTGGGGCCTCTAGGCTTTATAATACTGGTTATTCTTTAAATATAATGAAACATGTAAGCCTTTAAGAAATTAATGGTAGCTGTCCTTTAGTTTGTTTTATTTAATGGGCTGTAAGAAAACAAGCCTGGAGTCTCATAAACTGAAGGACAGCAGAACGTAGGATTTGTGTTGTAGATGATTGCATTTTTGTTTGCCATGGTATACTAGTGAGATGTACCCCACCAAGGAGTATTAAAAAGCTTCAAAAATAACATACTGGATGCTCAAGCACACTTTAGGGCAGACAGTTTCAAAACTCACTTCAGCAAAGGGGGAACCAAGCCACAGAAATGTTAAATGACTTACCCAAAATCATGTGCTGGTGGTCTGTCTAAGGAATGATGTATCCCAGTGCTCTCCCTCAAGTCATCAGAGGCTTTTGTGCCACTCTGTAGGTGCCAACAGCTCTGGCATAAAATATTCAGTATCCCTGCTCACGAGAATGAATGAATGAATGATTAACCCATATTTTAGGAGTCCTGGCTGTATTTCCATAAAAGGCCTTTCCGACTGAGCACAGGTGTTGCCAATCAGCTACCAGACCCACAGCCTTACCTGAAGTCAGGATGAACTCTCTGCAGATGGTCAGTGAATTAATGCAAAGGGTTTGAGTTCCATCTAGTGGTTACAAACGCACCAGCAGGTTGTTCAGCCTGGAGGAGACTAAGGGGAGACCTCATCGTGGTCTTCTAGGTCCTCCTGAGGAGCAGCAGGGGCACGGGTACTGATCTCCTCACCCCCGTGACAAGGCCCAAGGGAACGGCTGGAACTGTGCCAGGGAGGGTCAGACTGGGTATCAGGGAAAGGCTCTTCCCCCAGAGGGTGCTCAGGCACTGCCCAGGCTCCCCAGGGAATGGGCACGGCCCCAAGGCTGCCGGAGCTCCGGGAGCGTTTGGATAATGCTCTCAGGCACAGGATTGTTGGGGTGACATGTGCAGAGCCAGGAGTTAGAATCCATGATCCTGATAAGTCCCTTTCAGCTCAGCAAATTCTGTGTCTCTCAAATGGGTTGTTCCTATCCCATGCCCCTCTCCAGCCTCTCAGCCAGGATATGTTTTCTACTATGTCATCATCACCTATTTGGTCCTTTGATTTCTGACCAGTCTTTTAGCCTTTGCCTTTCTAAGGCATTGACACCCACTGGCCTTCTGCCTACCAGCTCTCCTTAGTTTTGTTCCTACTCTTGGGGCTCCTGGGCCCAGAAGCATCACAAGAGGAGAAAAACTCCAGCCTGGTATCACAGCTGTGTGAGATACTTGGCCATGAGAGTGGGAAATGAGAATAGGAAGATCCAAGTGCTTTGTACTGACAGCATGATATGTGGTGGGTCTGATTTCAAGCAGCGAACAACCCAGCCTTCCCTATTGTTCCTGACAGTTTATTTCTTCATTCAGCTTCCACCCTCTATGACTGGAAATTTTGTAGATTTTTTTTTTAATAATCTAAACATTTACTTAGTGTTGGAGTTTAGCTTCATTTTCATTACCTTCATTTATCCTTCTCTTTACTCTTATAATTTTCCTCTATTATTAGTTTTCTCCACAGTCTCTAAATCACAGTAATCTTTCCCAAAGAGCTGCAACTCCTGCTGATTTTCAGCATTCCACTACATCACAGCAAGGAGGATTACTGGAAAGACCAAGGGGCTCAAGAGACTCACCAGCTCTCTTCACTGTACTGTTAACTCTTGTGAATTCAGACTTGTGCTAACATCTGGCACATTTTGGGTAATGCTTGTAAAGACAACCTGGGAGAATGAGCCACTGGTAAAAATGGTTGCTGCATCCTCATCCTCAGTGGGAAGAGTTTTAACCTCATATCTAATTGGAAGATCTTTTGTTTGTGATTGTTGCCTCTTGTCCTTTCCTTGAGCATCTTGAGAGTCTGGATCCTTCCTCTGGGTAACCATTTTCATCCTCCATGCTTTTCATAGTAGAGCACACAGTAATGTCTCACCTTCACCTTGTCTGTTCCAGACTGGTCACACTGAGCTCTTTTGGCCTTTCCTCACATGTCAGAGCTTTAAACAGCTTGGTGGTCTCCCATGACTCTTGCCCTGTCACCCTTCTTATCCTGGGGAGCCCAAAACTGGGCACGGAGCTCCAAACGTGGTCTCATCTGTGCCAAGCAGAGAGGAAGGGTCACTTCCCTGGGTCTGTTAGCTACATCTTACTAAAACATCCCAGGAAGCCTTGGGATGGGCTTTTTTGCCACAAGGCCACACCACTGGCTCATGGGCAACTGGCTGTTCACCAGGAACCCCTTGGCTGCCTAGACAGTCAGCCCCAGCCTGGATATTTGCAAGTCCTTCCAGGTGCAGGACTTACATTCACTCATTCAAACTTCACAAGGTTACTGTCAGCCCATTTTCCCACCCTGTCAGTGGCATGCCTAATTCTCTACAGCAACTGCTCCTCCCAGCTTCACAAAGCTTGAGAAGGGTGCACTCCTCATTTAACAGGATGTTAGACATGATGGGAAATGAATTTCCAGGAGAGTTTATCCCATAATCTTCTAAAAGACTGCAGTTAGAACTGAGATTATATCCACATTCAGAGTGTTTCAACATTACTTCACTTTTAGTTTTGCATTGTTTTCCCCAAGTAACTCTGCTTAGAAGAGTTGAGAAAAACATAACCCAGAGCTGAATATTTTTCAGCTTTTCTTTTCCTACTACCACCAATCATGAGAATGCTACTTGCATTGAAAAAAAATTGCTTTTTAGTTTAACTCTGTGAGCACAAGGTCTTCTCTAGCTGACCTGTGCTTAGCTAAATGATTTGCACTCCTAACTATGACAAAGAGGTCCTTTTTGTGTCCTTGTGTCCGGCTTGGCAAATGACCAAAGCAGCATACCTGCTAGGACAGAAGTAGGAGTGCACACAGCGAGCATTTGGATCAAATCTATATATCAGCTGGGAGCAGTGCATGATGTTGCACTTGCCACCAAATCCCAAGCCTTCACTTTTATACCAGCTGGTCCATCACATATTCAGGTATCTGCCCTCACTCACTAGTCACTGACTACCCCCTTATTTTCCCACACTTGTTCCTCCCCTAAATTTCTCATAATCATTGCATCCTTTCTTGTACAATTCAAAATGCCTTTTTTCCCATTTTGGCTCGTGCTCCTTTTCCTCCTCTTTGGACAGGTGCCTGGGAGGCATGTCCCTGCCCAGCCATGCCCACAGCCCAACCCACTCCAGCGAGTGACCTGGGCAGAGTCACAGTTACAATTTACAGTGAAGACTGTGTCTTCTTCCAGTGCCTGTGCTGGGGATGAGACAGCCTGAACTGACTGCAGACATTTGGTGTGTGTGGGGCAGGCATGGGAGGTGAGAAGAGAGCTCCCACCTCCCACCAGCTGAACTTTTATCACATAGCTTAACAGTTTCCTCAGAACAAAGAAGCCTCAAAATTATATGGAAAGCCTCAGGCAAATTGTATACCATTAGCTAAGTAAGCAAACAATACTGAACTGGTGGAGGGCTGTGTAAGAAATGGGGCAGGGGGCAGGGAACAAGACAGTGGTGCCAAGACGTTCTGCAAAATGCTTTTTGAAATAGTCTGGGGAATCCAAATCAAGAAAAAGAGTTGGGCGTGGGACAGAGGTGAGCCAAAGCTGAGACCTGAAAGAGGCATTTCAAGAAGTAGAATGGAGGAAAAGACAAAGTGAACAGGTCACACGCCATAAAAAAAAAACAGAGGAAGCCGGTTTGACAGCATCATTCCCGGGGTGTTGCTGCATACTTTCTTTATCCCCGCAGGGAAGAACTGCTGATGCAGTCAGAGTCACCAGGGAAGCTGGGACTTCAGCTGCACCAACTTTAGAGCAGGAATAGCCTCTGCTTCACACAGAGCAGGCAGCTCCACAGAATCCAGTGTGTCATCACGCCCTGCGCTTCGACTGCAGATACATCAGACGAGGCACATTTTTTCCAAAATCCATCTGCACACAGTCAAGCTACAGAAGTTGCATTTAGGTATGCATTCATTTCACTCAGTTCCCCAGCTTTCATTCACATTCATTCTATTTATCCAACTCTGTTCACACTGTCAGATCCCCATACTCACAGCCCTGGAGGGGTGCTGGTTTCACCAGGATCCATGTTGCATGTAACAAAAAGGAAGATGGGCACCAACCACCACACCCTTTTGTTATCGCTTGCGTTATTTTCCACTGGCAGGGAGAAACTGCCTGTGAAAGCTTGTGGGTTTAGCACTGACAGTGGTAGCATCCTTTTGCTTCATGGTCTGGCTACTGCTGCCTCCATGCACATCATGGAACTTCTCTGGTTATTTTCTGTTTCCACGTTCTGTGGTCTGCTCCCAGTTGAATCAACAGGAAATAAATGTCACTTGTGATGTACTGTATCTTCCTGCCACATCCAGCATGTCAAATGGTAGGATTTTCTGCTGACAAGGTGTCTGTGCTACAGAATGCAAAACTTCCGCTTTGAGAAAAAACAATTCAGTTCTCCATTTTACTGCCTGAAGCTGTGGTTTTGGTTGTTTACACAGGCTATTCTTTTAGCCTTTGCTCTGCTGTTTCTTCTGGTGCTTGCACACAGCCACTTCTATTCATACTTTGTTCATACCAATCAATACTTCAGTTTCAAGTCTCTGAAAACTGATTTTGCTTACTACAAAGTCAGCAGAATACCAGAGTCAGGGCAAATAAGGAAATATTTCAGCTGCAAGTGGAGGACACCTGAGAGAAAGATTTACAGGGTAGCAAGAGGTTACAGCAATCCAGCCACACTGGATCTAACTGGTTTCTAACTTTAACCAAAGGGTTGATACTTGAGGTTGGAGTCACTATGAAAATAACACCATTTTGGGACTCCTTCATACAGTGATCCCTTTTGCCTCACCCAGTTGTGTTGTTTCACATAAATTGGTCCTGTTTAAAGCTGCTGAGGAAGTGTTTGGGCATTCGTAGTTGCAAAACATAGTAACAAACAGGATAAATCCAGCAATGTTTCTTTGTTTGCTTTTACTCAGGCCTGATCCAAAACCCTTCTTTGAATGTACTTAAGTGGAGAATAGATACTGCTTGCCAAGACTGCATTTGTAGTTTCTTTCTGCTTGCAGTACTTCACTTTACTGCTCCATACTGTTAATACTGTTCCAATGAAGTATACAGCAAAACTCCTCAGGCCAGTAGTTCAGATTTCTGAGTGGATTAATGCAGAAATGTATGCTTTCACTGAAATTGGATAAGAAAAACCAAAAGACAAATAAATATAAGCAAATTACTATACAACTGGCCAGATTAATTGTTATTATCTACTGTTTAAAGCTGGCAGTGTATTGCTGACTTAGTGTTTGAATAATTTTCTTCCTTATCAGTCTGTCTTGAAACTACCTTGAGTATGGGTCTGAGTTTTATTATCCTTGATGATCTGTTGACAACCTGAGAATGTCAATATCCACACCTAGAGCATAAACCAACCCTGGACTATCAATTTACTTATGTAAAGCTATGACGTGGCAAATTCCTCCTTCTACCTCTCTTTTTCTGTTGCTTTAAAAAATTAATTGGTACAATTATCACAGGAAGGGCACAGATATGGGGAAATATGCCCAAAGAAAAGGTACTTACATAGCCTTCAACAACAAAGAAACAACATACCACAGGCAGTACCACCTTGGCTGTATTCCTGGAGGTAGTTCTCTCTTTATGAACTAACTTTGTAGTTTCACATGCCTTTCAAATGAGACATCAGCAATAGGCAACACAGGCCACTCACTCTATTTTCAAGGTTAACTTCCTGATCCAGAGGGAGCAGTTGAAAATGTGCCTGAAAGGTACATTTCCAAAGGGTTTCAGTATAAAAGTTAATCTCAAATGGATTTAATTGTCAACCCTCTTCCGAGGCAGTATTTGCTGTGCTTCTTCCCCATCGCACAGACCCTCCCCAGCCCTACTTCAACACTAAGAGGAACCTGGCACTTCTGCTTCTGGCCCAGGCAGCTACTCACTCACTCGCCACCAGCAGGACTGGGGAGAGAATCAGAAGGGTAAAAGCTGGAAAACTCCTGGATTGAGATAAAGACAATGTAATAGGGAAAGCAAAGGCTGCACACACAAGCAAAACAAATAAAGGAATGAATTGCCCGCTTCCCAAGGGTAGGCAGGTGTTCAGCCATCTCCAGGACACCAGGGCCCCATCGTGTGTCACCGTGTCCTGGGAAGACAAATGTTGTAACGCCGAATGTCCCAGCCTTCCTCCTCCCACCCCCAACCCCTCCCAGCTTCCCACGCACCCCAGCTCCCTCTCCAGCGTGGCAGTACAAGGAGTAGGAAAGACCTTGGCTCTGAGCAAGCACTGCTCGGCAATAATGAAAACAACTCTGCTATCATTCCTATGTTCAGGACAAATCCAAAACACAGCCCCACAGCAGCCACTTGAAGAAAACGAACCCTACTCCAGCCAAAACCAGCACAGTTTCACAGCCCTGCCAGGACACTGCTGCAACCAGTGCTAATCAGCAGCTCGCTGCCAAGCGGGAAGAAAGAAAAGTAATGGCATTGCTTTATAAATACTAAAGTAATTTGTGTTATCCGGCATTATATGCTTAATGCTCTGCACTAGATTCGTGTTAGTGTAGAGAGCAAAAGTTAGCAAGGTGAAGAAATGCGGCTGCCTCATCTTGGAAGTGTCCAGGCCAGGCTGGATGGGGCATGGAGCAACCTGGTCTAGTGCAAGGAGACTGCCCAGCATAGAGGGTGGAAGGAGATGATCTTTAAGACCTTCCCAACCCAAACCGTTGGATTCCGTGACAATAACAAGGAAACCTCGCAGTCCTTTCAATCACTTCTTGCATTAACTTCCCGCGTGACGTTCAGCCGAGAAGGCCTCCGGGCTGGGCGGATCCCTGTCCCCAGCGCCGCTGGAGCCGCACCCGTGCCTTCGGTTTCGATTCGCGCGGAGCGCGGCCGGGAGGCGGTGCCGAGTGCCCGCCCCGCTGCTCCCGCTGCCGCCGCCGCGCTCCGGGCACAGCGCGCTGGGTCCCGTCCGGGCGGAGGAGCCATGTGCGATCCGGCCGTCTTCAGCTTCCTCACCCAGACGCTGTGCGCCCATGGCGGGCGCCTGGGGCTGCGGGAGCTGCAGGAGCACATCGGGCTGCCGGCGCTGCAGCTGCAGGACACGCTGGCGGCGGCGGGCCCCCGGCGCTTCGTGCTGCTGGAGGGCGGGCAGGCGGTCCTGGCCGTGACGGACGCGCGGGTCTGCGTCCGCAAGGAGTGCGACGGCTGCGAGCGGCTGCACCTCTGCAAGCTGCACCTCATGGGCAGGTGCAACCTGGGGCCCAGGTGAGCGCGGGGCGCGGACAGCCCCCACCCCCCTCACAACCCCGCCCGTGCCCCCCTAACTCCTCACACCCCCCAAACTCCCCTCCAGCCCCCCGCATCCCACGCCGCTCCGCGATGGTGCCCCGGGAGGAGCGGGCAGTGATGCCCGAGCCGCGGGGGATCCTTGCTCCGGAAGGACTCGTGTCCTGCCCCCGCTGTGTCCGTACAAACCGACGATTTGGGCTTTTGTGTTTCTTTCCTTTTTGTTTGTGGGGTTTTCTTTCTTTCTTTCTTTCTTTGTTGTTTGTGTGTTTAAATCTGCTCTTCTCCGCACGCATCACTCAGTCCCCCTGGTTTCTGGGTGTAGTAGTTTATACCTATTTCTCGGAAGGAAAAAACAAAGTGCTGACATGCCCTCTGGTTTTGCTCTAGAGTTACGGAAGTCGAGTTCTGCTGTAAGCCATTGCTTGGCTTAGGGCCCTTTCTTTGAGAGGCGCTGTTTGATCATCCAGGTGCGTCAAGTCCCAGTTTCTGGAATATGGGATGGGCAGGCCTGGTAGCCTCTTCTAGCCACAGGTGGCCAAAGGTGGTGCCTGGTTTAAAAAACAAAAAGGAAACCAAAAGTGAAAGCAGAAGAGCAACCCAGCTTTGCCACCACAATTACTGATGGAAGAGCTTTGTAGTTTAAGCCCCCCAAGCCCCAGGTCTGGTCCTGATGCAGTGTTAAGGAAAGTGCATGATCCCACTGGATCCTTCCTCTTCTGCCCCAAAAAGATGGATCACTATGCACTAAGATCTGGATAGCATGGAGGGGGGAAAGCCATATCTCTCTCTCATCATTAGGATAACATTTTCTTGGATTTTGTTACATTACAAATAGCTCTCATTACAAAGCTCCTGCGGGGGTCACTGTTGGAAATGCCTTGATGTGTGCATACACTCATGATGGATGACTTTGTGTGAATTAAAGTTTGCAATGAGGCGCTTCCTTTCATAACAATAAACCATTCTGCCCTCTGAATAACACAAAGTATTTAAAGTCACTTTGGTATGCATTAAAAATCAATAAAGCAAAGAGAATACCTTTCATGGGAGGGAGCTTGATTAAAATAAGAGGGCAAAAATTCTGCTAGGTGGACTACATAGGTCGAGACTATTTTTTAACTGATAAGGTAAAATCTAGCCTTACTTCAGGTCTTACATCCTTTTTTGTTTAGAATCCCTGGAAAGAAAAATGTTTTGAGCAAATTACTCGGGTCTTCTGTTTTGTGGAATCATTATTTTAGTCCTGTTAATCCTGTTTCTAACTAATGTCTGACAAGTTCACTGTTATTTTCCTTTTTTCCTAAATATCTTATTAAACTCAGCTGTGTAGTTATTATTGTATTTGTAGAGTGTTTAAACCTTTGACTGGGAAATACAGACTCAAGTGATGTAGATCACTGTGTTGGTGAACTCTCAAGCTGACTCTGAAGGAACACTGGTGATGGCTCCCACCTCAGATACTCTGTAGTTTACCTACCTTCATAGCCATTAACTGAGTGCCTACAGCATCTGATTCCCTTGGAAGGTTGTTTCTCAGGACCAAAGACAGCACACTTCTGCCCTTCCTGTTGCTTACAAAGAATGTATCCAACAGGTAGCAGGGGTCAGGGGAGAAATACCTACACAAGGGTCTGTATGGAAGGATTGGGCCAGACACACCTTGAGGTAAAACTGTTATGAGGGGAGCTTCAGGAGTTAAGTAGAGGCTGAAAGAGTAAAGGGATAGACTTGAACCTGGTAAATTAACAGGTACTTTTACTGGTTGAATATATCTAATCTTAAGGCTGTATCAAATCATGTGTTGAAGAGCAGGACATGAGGAAGCTGTATTTTGCTGCATTACATTAATGCACATGCTGACTATGTATGTGTCTCCTCTCAGTTACTGATTTGCAATACCATTTCAAATAGATGTAAAAAAATCCACAGTCTCTAATTCATACTCATCAGACTTTTGGCTTTCTAAGTGGCAACACTGGCTTTGTTATTGCAGCTTAATTGCTTCCTTAATCAAAACTCATAAGTTAAACTTTCTTACCTGTTTGTTGTTGTTTTGGTTTTTTTTTTAATTAAACTTCACAGCCACTGAGGATAACAAAATGTGTTGTTTTCAGCTTCACTGTTGCTGTTGTTTTGAGCAGACTCTTGCATGTTTCTTTACTTGCCATCGCTAGGACAACAACATTTACGTTTACAAAATAAAGGTTGTTCCAACTTCTGGTATTGTTGGTGTACTCCTTTAAAATTACCTTTCCCTCCAGCTGTTTAGGCCACGTGACTTGACTTGGCTCTTCCTGGAGTCAAAGAATGCCTGGGTCTGCCTGCATTGAAGTTTAAAATGAGGACAGTTGGGTCACAGAGGAGTTCTGCTCTTTGGTCCATTCTCTGGCTAATTACAGACACCATCTAAATGTTCAGAGACTCTCACCAAGACACCTTTCTTTCACTTTGGCTTTTCCCAAGTTGCACATTATCTGAGGTTCTTCTTTAAATCAACTTGACTAAAGGAGTAAGCACTGATATTTCTGTGTATTTTCTTGCAGCTCTTGTAAGTACTCGCATGACATCATGAATGCGGAGAACAAGAAAGTTCTAAAAAAACATGATTTGTCTGGCCTCAGTGAGAATGATCTGCAAGTCCTGCTTCTCCAAAACGATCCATTCTTCCTCCCTGATGTAAGTTGTACTGATTTCTTAAGAGAAAGTTTCCGTTCATTGGGAATGGGAGAGGGCAAGAGAGAAGGTGGAGTTCTGATCTTAACGTCCAGCTGTTAAAATACAAAACAGGATTAGTCAGAATGAAGGAAGAATGGCAGTGGAAGTGTGAAACAACATAAAGCCAGATCTGTGAGAGGGCTGTGTATTTAAAATAAAAAAACTACTCTCACAGCAGTAAAACTGTTAATAAGTACCCAGTGTACACATCTGGAGAAGGCCCTGTCATCTGTGATGTGTCAGGAGCAGACCTGACCTCTGTTAGCTGGAGGTGGGCAGCAAGGCTACAGCCTGTCTTGTGTGCCAATTCTGTTATCCAAACAGGGCGGCCATAAAGCTGCTCAAAGCAAGCAAACAAAAATGTCAGCAACTTCACCAGAGGTTTACAGAAGGCAAGATAAGCAAGAGAGAGTTGAAAGATCACAATAATTGCACATACTTACATGACCAGAACCCAGTTTGTTGCTTCTTCTCTATGAGATGAAGACTAGGAAGTCAGCATGCACCCTTTTCCTTTTCCAGTCTGTGTAGGTCTGCACAGGGCTGCACACTTTTTGGTGCTTGAGGGTATAAGAGATGAAAAATGACTGCAGATACAAATATAAATAAGAGACCAAATGACTGCAGTTTCGTGCCAAATCTGGCTCTTCCAAAGTGCATGGAGTTTTTTTTGTACACTGACTTTCTACAAAGGAATCTTTGCCCAGTTTGTATGCTGCTCATTGATTTTGTTAAATTTGGTTGAACATTCCATTCTGGTTCAGCATGTGTGTATAAGGGCAATACTGTCTTCAAGATATGGCTGTTTCAAAGTCAGTTGTACCCTGTTCTGGCTACAACTGCTCCTGGTTAAGAAATTACCAAAGTACTGCCATTGTCTTTTGCAGGTTATAATCTCCACAGATCTGTTGACACAACAGTTCTATTGTTTCTTTATTCCCTGCTGTGAAAATGCTAGACTCTGACAAAATGGATTTTTTTTTTAATTATGTAGTGTTTTAAAGTATGTTTTACTGGCAGACTGAAGGAGCATGGTGGTAAGCAAGGAGAATTACTAATTGTCCCACTAGTGAGCAAATAGTAACAACTGTTCTTGGTTGGTATTACCCTAAAGTTCTTACTAGAAATTTGTTCAGCTCTCACCCCTGGCAGGTGCTTAATTACCTGTAAGTGAGCACTTTAACTCCTATCATGCAGTAAAACAGCAAAACCAAGAGAAAACTGTGATCAATGCAGGCCATCCATAAACCTGAGAGTTTGGAGGTCAGATATAAAAGCCAATTTGGCTATTTCCTGCTTAGAAATGCTGAATGGTTATGTGTGTGAAGACATGGCATGTAGGAAGCTCTCAAGAAACAAGACACTTTGGAATTCTCTGACTTGAACTGGGGTACAGAGTAAGAAAAACACAACAGCACCACAACATCAGGGGTTTTCATGCTTTCCCTCACCTCTCTGGCTCTCCAGTTTCGTTTGTTTCTTTTGGTGGGTTTTTGGTTTTGTTTCTTGGCAGGTGCAAGGGGACAGTGTGCTTTCTTCTGTTTTCATGGTTTAAGGCCAGATAAGTACCATGCAGCCACCTGCTCTCTCCCAACCTGGTGGGATGGGGAGAATTGGAAAAGAGATAAAACCTGTGGGTTGAGATAAGGATAATGAAATAATTGAAATAGAATAAAATATAATAACTCTAATGAGAAGGAGAGAGAGAAATTAATAAAACACAAGAGATAAGAGTAATTCCCAGTAGAGTTGCTCCCCACCCACTGATTGATATCCAGCCCATCATACCTGAACAGTGGTTGGTGGCTCCTGGGAAAAGGGATTTGGAGGGGACCTGTGAGAGTCCCAGTGTGATACTGGGGCTCTCTGCCAGACAGCTGTGTGTCCTCCTCAAAGAAGCTTTCTTATTACAGGCTGTTCTGGGAGCAAAACTGTTACTGTGGCTTAGTGGTCAATATGAAGGAATTTTTGGTCTGCAATTTGTTCCCTGGTCTGATTCTCTGTGTAACCTCTTTTTTAGTGACTAGAGGAATAAAAGAAGTGCATTGTTTTTTTCATATGTATTCTAATCTCAGAGCACTCTTCTTACCCTTCTATAAGCTCAAATCTTCAAGATAAGCTTTACAAATAGGAAGTGCAAATTCAGTTTCAGTTCCATGAAATGATAACTCATTTGACAGTGTACATGTTCATTATGATGTAGGGGTTTTTAAAATAGAATAACTGTAAACTAGTCTGGTGTTATGCAAGTCTTGCATCAATTTTTGGCACCCCTGAGCTTGTTGGGTGAGCTTTTCTTGGAAACCAAACGTGCACAACTTCAAAACTGAAAATGCATGAGTCAGCTTAAAATACCTGCTCCTCTAGGCAAGAAATTTGTCTAAAGAAGCTGCAGTAAACACATGACTTTTAATCACTGTTTTTCTGCTGTTAAAGCTGCATGGCTGTAGGACAAAGAAAAATTCTAATGTGCTTTTCCATTTCTTATTGTATCCTCTCCACTTTTAGACCTGCCACTTTTACAACAAAAAAGGTTATCACTGTAAGCAGCAAGACAACTGCAACAAGCTTCATGTTTGTCGACACTTTCTCCAGGGGAAATGTAAATTTCCTCAATGTGTAATATCCCATAACCTCTTGGATGACCATGCATTGAGAGTGCTGGAAACTGCAGGCATTGATGGGAAGATAGCTTCAAATTTCCAGGCTATATATAATTACAAGCATCTAGAATTCAACAGGGAACAGAAGAAGGTGTATGGTAAGTTGCAAGAAACAGTGGTCTTAATCATGATTTTGAGTTTGATAGAGGTAGAAACTGTTCTTGCCTTACCTCCCAGCTAAACCCCAACATCCTTTCGATGTTTTCAGTACGCAACTACAGAAATGATTATTGGAAGAAGCCAGCATTTCAAAGGATTAAAGAACCAAAGACAACTTCAGAAACGGTGCAATGCATGCTGGATGTGCCACCTTCAGAAGGTAAATGCCTAGATAATAGTACCAACTGTTTCCTTGTGGAATCAGCTTTTTGTATTTCTCTTCTTGCAAAATATACACATTTTTCCCCTCTCTGCTTTTATGCACTCGCAAGAATGGAGTAAGTCATGGCACAGTCATGTGGGAGGGAGAATTGCAGTTTTATTGCCTGAAGTACTGCATTGAAAACAGTATTTGAGTGGCTGGCAGTAACTCTGACTAGCTAGGGTTTGTAACTGTAATTGCACCTCTGTTGTATCAGCAACAGTGGAGTGCTAGTGGAAAATTACACATGTAATGGACATAATTCTCCACAGAAACTGGGATATTGCCAGCTAGCTGAGCTTGTGGCCCAGCAGTGCTTCTCATTCAGTCTTCTCACACAGGTTCCAGTAGCACCGTACCTGCCCAGAGCC